GTGTCGCTGCTGCCCGCCGCGCCTGTGCTGCTTGACGTGGTACGTGTCCTGTGCGCGGTCTGCCGCCGGTGATCCCCAGAACCGTGGCGTGGCGGTGCTGCTCGTGGCGCTGGCGGTGCTGCGCCGGAACTCTCGTGAAGCAAAATCACCGCTCAACGGCCGCCAAGATGACCTCAACGCTACCACAATACAAAACATGCTGGGCTGTTGCCACCCGTAATGGCGGACCTCGGTCCGCTCCGCGGGGGCGACGTCGTGACACCAGGAGCGGAAGTACGCCACGGTGGCATCTCCACGACGCCCCGAGTCTCGAAGGCGACTGGGATGAGCTGCCTTCCCCGTGGCGGGTAGCGGTCCCGCGTCCCGCTTGCTGTCTTCCGCGTTGGTGGCGGCAAGACAGTCCTTGTCTGAGCGTGCCTGCTGGCGCGGCGCGTTGCCGCTGTGCGCGCAAGTCACGCTCGTGTCCAAGAAGACTGTCTGTCCAATCACCGCGTCGCGGGTGGCGACATCCAACTGCGCCTCCTCAAAGCGCCCTGTCCGCGGGCTCACCCCGCCGCAAGCAACAACCCTTTGCTCTGTTTGCGCCGCGCGCCTGGTGGCCCGCTGGCGGTAGCCGGCGCAGAGGTCCCGGAGGCCGTCGTGCTTGCTGTTACGGGAGGGCACGCGCGGGCACTTCTAGGGGCGCGCCGCCCACGTCTGTCGAGCTGCTCTCCGCATGCAACTCCCGCCTGCGAGCGGAGCTTGCACGTGGCCGCCTGCGGGCACAAAGGGAAGCCCGAGCCTCTCTGCGAGAGCGACGCGGAAGTGCTCGTCCGGCATCACGATCGGCGTCGCGCCTTCTCGGACAACGCGTGGCTCTAAGACCCCCCAGGCGCCCCGGCCGCCTGACGAGCGGAAGTCAACCCCGTCGTGTGCCCCCAGGGAGGCCAGCAACCGTTCGCGGCTTCTGCTGCGGAGGTCGCCCGCCCAGACCGACCTAGAACCGTTTCTCCATAGGTGGGACTCGCCACACATCTGCGCCGCCGTGCAGCTGGGCACTCAACGGAGCAGCGTCAGCAGGTCCGCTCGAATTTTCTCTGTGCTAAATACTGCGAATGCCTTCTTTGAGGGGCCGAAGAGGCATGTCAAGGTCAGGGAGGCGACTGCGGGTGGCAGATTGATGGAAGCCCATGCCCCCGGACGTTGTTTACATCGAAGACGCCTACGGGGAACCACCGACGCCCCCTGTTTTTGGGAAACGCCTATGTGGCCAAACGTTGGGCCGAAATGTTGTCAAGCTATTGGTCCACTTGTTCCCCAAGCCCTTGTGGAAACTTGTGGGAGGTGTGGGAGGAAGAGAGGAGGAGATAAGGTCTCTTGGGGCCCTCTTGGGGCCTCTTAGGGTCTTTGGGGGCCTCTTGGGGGCTCCAAGGGGCCCCTTGGCCTTCGTAGGCCGTCTTGAGGGGCCCCTCTGGGTCGAATTGAAAGTTTGTGGGGCCGTCTTGGGGCCGTCTTAAGGCCGTTTTGGCGGCCTCCTGGGTGGTCTTGGGGCCCTCTTGGCCGGTATTGGAGCCCTGTGCGGAGCTTCTGCGACCGTATTGGCGCCATCTTGGACGGAAGCCTCTGGGGCCGTTTTTGCATGTCGGAAGCCCGAAGAAGCGAGAACGCGACAATAGCGAAAACCAACGAAAACAGAATGTGGGATGTCTTGGAGCCCATTTGAACCATCGTTGGCCGTTTGGGGTCAATGTGTGGCCGTCTTGGAGGCATTCCGTGGCCATCTTGAGCTCTCTTGGGGCCACATTGGCCGTCTTGGAGGCGTCTTGGAGGCCATCCTGATCCATCTGAAACATAGTGGAGCCATCTTGGGCAGAAACAGCTCCTAGCCTCCCACTTGTCGTGCGGCCTTCCGTGTGACTGGAGTGACGCGCCGAGACCCCACTGGGAATCTTTCAGCACGCCAAGCACCCCTGTTCGGGTGTTGCTGAAAGTGCCCCTGGCCCAGGGTGCCCTCAAGTGTTTGCTTCATTTGGGAGCCCCAGGCCTCGCGAGGGCTGCTTCGGAAGCCGTCTGGGCCACCCCGAGAATCCTGGGGGGCACCGTGTGTGACCTGCGGCAAATACTTCTAACGTCGAAGCGCGGCAGAGGCAGTCCACACGCGCGCTCAGGCGGCCCGGGCAACTGAAAGCGCGAATTAATCGGCGGCAGGAGTAGAAAAAAAGACCTGCGAAAGCGACCGCGAGGAAGGAGGGAGGCAGAGGAGGGCACTCACTGGGCGAGGTGCGTCGCAGTGGAGCGGCACCTGTGACAAGCACAGGGGGCGGATCGACGACGCATACGGCGAATCACCGCCGCCCCCTGCCCTTGTGGAAGCGCTGATGTGGCCGACAGTTGCGCTAGAGTTTGGCCAAGCTATCAGGCCAGTTGTTTCCCGAGTCGGTTTGAACATCCGTCGGGGAACGCGTGGGGGAGCAAGAAAATCGAAATCGCCCATGTGTCCGAGCGTTGTGGCCAGAGCTCTGCCATATCACCAGACCATGTGTTCCCCCAACCGTTACGGACACCCTTCGGGGAACACTTGGGGAGGATGGCGGGGAAGATCAGGAGGAGGAGGAGGAGGAGGAGGAGGAGGAGGAGAAGGAGCAGGAGGAGAGGAGGAGGAGGAGGAGGAGCAGGAGGAGGAGGAGGAGGGAACATCTTGGGAGCCTCTGGGGGCATTCTTGGGGCCTCCTGGGAGTTTCCTGGGAGCCTCTTGGAGCCTCCTTGGGCATCTTGGGGGCCTTTGGGGGCTTCTCCTCGGGGGCCTCCTTGGCCGTCTCAGGGCATTCCTGGCACGTCCGACGCCGTCGGAAGTCGTCTTGGGAGCCATCTTGGGCGTCTTGGAGGCCTTTTCGGCCGTCTGGGAACCCTCTTGGGGCCGCCTTGGGGGCCTCTTGGGCCGTTCGGGGGCCGAGGCCTCTTGGGCGATCTTTCTGTGCTCTTGGGCCGTCTCGGGCTGTCGGCAGGCCGAACAGAAGCAAATGCATCCTTCAAAAGCAGAAAGAACATCAATGAATGCGGCATCTTCAGGGCCTTCCTGGAGGGCCTCTTAGGTCCTCTTGGAGGCCTCTTGGGGGCCTCTTGGGCCGTCTTGGGCCATCTTAAAGACTTCTTGGGCCGTCCTGGTGGGGTCCTGGTCCGTCTGGCGCCGTCGGAAGCTGTTTTGGGGGCCCCGTCTTGGAGGCCATCATTTACGTCTTGGAGGCCTCTTGGGCCGTCATGGGGCCCTCCTGGGGCAGTATTGGAGGCCTCTTGGGCCGTTCAAAGGCCATGTTGGAGGCCTCTTGGGCGATCTTGGGGCGATGTTTGGGTGCTCTTGGACCGTCTCGGGCCGTCGGAAGGTCGACAAAAACAAATGCCAAAATCCTTCAAAAACCCATTGGAATCAATGAATGTGGCATCTTCGGGCCTTCCTGGAGGCCGTCTTGGAGGCATCTGGGGCCGTCTTGGAGGCCTCTTGGGTGCCTCTTGGGCCGTCTTGGGCCAACTTAAAGCCATCTTGGGCCGTCTTGGTGGGCTTCTGGCTCGTCTGGCGCTGTCAGAAGCCGTCTTGGGGGCCTCTCTGGGCCGATTGGGGGCCCTCTTGGGACGCTTCCGGGTCGTCTTGGAAGCCATATTGGGCATCTTGGAGGCCTCTTGGGCAGTCTTGGGGCCCTCCTGGGGCGGTCTTGGGGACCTCTTGGGCCGTTCAGGGGCCGTCTTGGAGGCCTATTGGGCGATCTTGGTGAACGCATGAAAAACTACCCCCGCCCCCCACATGAAGAACTTTAGACTAATGGGACCGTCAAACGACGCGTGAATTGCAAGCGGGAACAGCTCGACGGTCAGCCAACGACAACGCCGCGCAATTCAATGCGAACGGCGCGCTGCTGCTATGCTCGCTGGCGTTTGATGAACTTGGCGTTTGATGAACCTGCGCTGCCAAGTTGGGGCGATCTTTGGGGGCTCTTGGGCCGTCTCGGGCCGTCGAAGGCCGAACAAAAAGCAAATGCCAAAATCCTTCAAAAACCTGTGGAAACTCAGTGATGTTGCTCTTCGGGCCTTCCTGGAGGCTCTCTTCGAGGCTTCGTGGGCCGTCTTAAGCCGCGACGGCTAAAACAAGTTTTATTGTGAAAGCTTGTGCTCGTGAATCCAGTCGGCCTCACACTGTGTGAGCAGAGCCTTTCGATCTGCAGAGGGTGTTCAAAGCACGTGCGCTCGAGCCCTGCTGACCGGGTTGTGAAAAACTTGCTGAGGAAAAGTGCAGCTGTCAGACGTCCGATCTGTCACCTCTGACTTTGCTCATCGAAAGGGGGCCTCTTGGGCCCTCATGGAACGTTTTGGAGGCTTCTTGGGCGGACTTGGAGGCATCTTGAGCCCTCTTGGGCCGTCTTGGAGGTCATCTTGGACCATCTTGAGCGAACTTGAGGGCCATCGTAGCCGTCTTGGAAGCCATATTGGGCCATCTTGGAGACGTCTGGAGCAGGAAAACCCTTGGCAACCCGGTCTTGCGATCCCTTCCAGATCCTTCTGGGTGGCCGGCAGGCTGGGCCGTAGCCCCAGGGGAGAATCCTTTTGGAAAAAGAACGAAAACCAAAACCGAAAGGATGCAGCACGCCAGGCACCCCTGTGATGAATCAACAGGGGACGGCGAACCCAGTGGCCTTCGGCCCATCCCGCCACCGTGCCTGGGCGGGTCGCCGCTAACAGCCAGACGACGACGACGACGACGACGACGACGACGACGACGACGACGACGACGACGACGACTCCCAAGAGGCTGGCGGCTGCCAGGAGTGGGGGGCCTTGCTCGGGGCCACCCCTGACAGCCGCCCCGAGGGGGCGCCCACCCTCTATTGAGGGGGTCCTTGCTCGGTCATCTCGCCGAGCGGCCCTTGGTCAAGCTTGCCATCGCTCAGACGTCCATTCCCCGTGTATTTCCCGCCCCCTCCTCCCTCCCCGCGAGCGTTTCCAGGCATTGTGTTTTCGCCCCCTCGTCCCTCGCCGGTGTTGGCCTGGCAGGCGGGGAGACAGTCCTCACCGACGAGGCCACAAGGAGCGGGGATGGAGGAGACGGGACTGGCGAGGAGGAGCAGGAGGACAGAGAGACGGGAGTCTGCTTAACTCGGAGACTGTTCGAAATTGTTCGCTTCAGCCAAAGGCCGTGCACGGCCAGCCAGGCATGGCATTTAAAAGTCGGTTGGCGTGCGGCCATACGAATTCTCAACAGCATGTAAAAACCTGCAGTGGCCTCGCGCAGCTGCGAGAAGGCGCCGCTTTGGTATTGGGCTCGGTGCCGCCTGGCCAGACTGTGAGAATTTAGGACGGAGAACTCTAGGCGAAGAGGAAGGCGGGGAGGATGGAGGAGAAGCAGCAGCAGCAGCAGAAGGAGAAGGAGGAGGCAGAAGTCTTGAAGAGGATACGAATGACGAAGGATGGGGAAGCGGAGGAGGAGGAGGAGGAGGCGACGGCGGCGGCGGCCGCCGCAAAGGTCGATCCCGCATCGGCCCGCGAATGGGGCGACCCATGCCTGTGAAGCGGTCTGGCCCTGGGGCCTCCTCCTCCTCCTCTTCCACCTCCTCCTCCTCCTCCTCCTCCTCCTCCTCCTCCTCCTCCCCTCCTCCTCCTCCTCGCTTCCCATCCTCGTCATTCGTATCCTCCTCAAGACTCCTTCTCCTTCTGCTGCTGCTGCCTCTCCTCCTTCTTCTTTTCCCATCCTCGTCTTCCTCGTCCTCCTCCTCCCCCTCCTCCTCCTCCTCCCCTCCTCCTCCTCCTCCTCCTCTGCAAAGGCGCTGGCCGCAGAGGCGCCGGCCAGGGGCGAGCAGCCTCGAAATGGTCAGGGGAGCTTCGAGCTCATCAGCGCGATTGGCATGGACAGCTGCCACGCCCGGCTGCCGAGGCCTCGCCATCGCTCGGACGTCCCTCACCCGTACTATTGTCGATCTCGTGCGCTTTTTCGGTCGTGACAGGATCCGACACGCTCCTCGATGGCCCACGACGAGGAAGAATGCACACGCCCGAGCGGTGCCAAGGCCTCAAGATTGTTGGCGGGGAGCTCCGAGCTCATCAGCTCGATTGTTCTATGGAGAGCTGCCGCGCCCCGCTGCCGAGGCCGTGCCTCGAGCATCTGGGCTGGCGGTGTGGCTCGTCGTCGTCGTCGTCGTCGCGCCCGCCCTCGCCCGCGTGCTCAGCCTCGTCGGAGGAGGGAGTCGGAGGATCCGCACTGCCTCGCCGATGCATTGGATTTTCACCTGCGACGGTTTAGTAAACGCACCCAGTGAAGGAATCGACCAGGGCAGGGCTGTTTAGTAAACGCCCAGGGCCTTTTAGCAAACACCAATTTCTCGGGGTCGGGGTGGTTTTTCCTGCCTTGAGCTTTGGAGAAAATCGCGATCCAGATCGCGCCGCATCGCCGATGCATCGGCGACGCAGCGCGGTCGTGGAGCACTCAGATCCCATCTCCTCCGGCCCTCTTTGGGCGGCCTTGAGGAACGCCAGGTCTTCTGGGAGGGTCTTTGGGGAAAAACACAGAGATGCTGGTCCAGCGCCAGGGTTCCGAGACGGATCCGGCCGAGTCAACGAGGGCTCCCCCAGGACGCCCAGAAAGACAAGAAAACGGGGAAAGGGTGCGGATGAGGGAGCGGCATCGGTATCTTACCAGACATCCAGCGCCGTGACGTTTTCACAACGTGGCTCCCCAGAGGTCGACCTGGGCCCCTTCTGAGGGACCGACTTTTCATCCTGAGCCGTTGTTTGACTGCCTTGGGGCCTGGCAAGGCACCCTGGAGGCCGAAAACCGCCCGAAGCCTTCCGTCGTGCTTGTTGTTCACGTCGCAAAGATATCGCAGTCCTCCTCCTTCTGCGGCAACTCATGGAAGCCGCCCATGCCATCTTGTTGGCTCTGGCGAATCGGCACTGATCGACGCTAAATTGGCGCTAAGTCGGCACGATCTCATCGACTACAAGACGCCAATCGGCGCTAGTGCACTCCAGAGACGGAGCTATGGGGGTACACAAGGCTCCCATGATTTGGTACCGAACTCCTCCTCTAGAGGCTCCCTCTAGAGTCTAGAGGCTGCAAAGATGGGCTCCGAGAAGATGGGGTCGGAGGATCGCGCCGCATCGCCGATGTATCAGCGACGTCGGCGTGGAGAACATCGGGGTCCACATCGATCCGCATCGCGGATGCCTCGGCGATGCGTCGCGACCGTCCGACCACATTTACTCCTACCTCATCTGGGAGGCCCAGACTCGTGCGAGGTGATCGTCGGGCCATAGCTCGGGCCTCCGCCGGAGCGCTCGGGGCGGGGCGCAGCCGCTGGAACGCACTGCGAGGCTGGAAAGCCTTCGAGAAGCCCACGAAACCACCTGAGAACCTCAGACCTCGCACCACCGAAACTCCCCATCTCTACTCAGCTCCGTGGCTCCTAAAAGAGACAGGCGCGTGCACGGAAAAAGCAGCACGCCACAAGAGCTTTGGACGAACGAACAACACGCACCCATACCCGTAGAGGGGACCGAAAGGGCTATCTATGGGTGCGTCTTATCGGATGGGGGTGCCCGCTCGAACGGGAGCCTCCCGGTCCGACAACTCGCACCCATACCCATAGCCAGTCCTCCTCCCTCCGACCCCCCTATGGCTGTGGGTGTGTGTTTCGGGGGCGACGATGGGGGCGAATAGCCCAGGGGAGAGCAATACATGCATCCAAGGGCGCCAATGGTCCATGCCTTCGGCGAGGCTCCTGGGCGAATACGTGTACTGCCCACCCCTGGGCCCTGGGCTATTCGCCCCTGATGGTCGCCTCGGGGTGTTGTTCTTTCGTCAGCTTTGGCGGGCCCGGCTCGCGGCGCCGTGCGCGCGGGGGGCCGCACCCCGCGCGCAGCACGCGCGGGCAGACGCCGCGAAGGGGAGCGCGCACGCCCTCCGGGCTGCGCGCCCTGCCTGCAGGACGAGCACGACGAGGACGAGCAGGACGAGGACGAGGACCAGCAGGACGAGGACGAGGAACAGCAGCAGGAGGACGAGGAGGACGAGGAGGACGAGGAGGACGAGGAGGACGAGGAGGGCGATGAGGAGGAGGAGGACGAGGACGAGGACGAGGAGGAGGAGGAGGACGAGGAGGACGAGAAGGAAGAGGAGGAGGAGGACGAGAAGGAGGAGGAGGAGGAGGACGAGGAGGAGGAGGAGGACGAGGAGGGCGAGGAGGACGAGGAGGAGGAGTAGGAGGAGGAGGAGGACGAGGAGGACGAGGACGAGGGGGAGGACGAGGACGAGGAGGACTAAGGGGGAAGGGGGCGAGCACGAAGAGGGCGAGGACGAGGAGGACGTGGGAGCAGGAGGGCGCGGTGCCACGCGCACCCCAGCCTCACGTGGCACCACACAGGAAACTCGCGGTCGCCGCGCATCGGGGCCCGACCAAAGAAAAATGCGTCCTTCAAATGCGCTCCGCGCAGGTCGCTCGTCAGGCAGTCCGTCCGCCCATCGGCGGCCGTGCAAACAAAAAAAAGGCGCGGAGGCGCCGCAGTGCGCCGTGCGCACGTTCGTCGAATGCCAAAAAAAGCACGAAAACTGACGCTTCTGGCCACAAGTGGGGGCGCCCATCACAGCGCGGCTGGATTTTAGGGGCCCCCATTTCACCCTCCACCTCCTCCCCCGTCCTCCTCTGCATGGCAGCGGACCCATGCCGAGCCTTCCGCGGAAGTATCTACACATCAAGGAGCAAAGTGCGAGGCCGCTGGGACGGCAGCAGCGATGTCCCCTTAGCGACGCCTTTCGGAGGCGCGAGCCGCGAGGCGCCACCACCACCACCACGAGCCGCGAGGCACCAGGGGGGCGTCTCGAGCGGGGAGGAGGGAGGGAGAAGGAGGAGGAGGAGGAGGAGGAGGAGGACGAGGAGGAGGGAGGGGGAGGAGGGAGGGGGAGGGGGAGGAGAAGGAGCAGGAGGAGGAGGAGGAGACGAGGACGAGGACGAGGAGGACGAGGAGAGGAGGAGGAAGAGGAGGAGGAGGAGGAGGAGGAGGATGAGGAGGAGGAGGAGGAGGAGGGAGGAGGAGGAGGAGGGAGGAGGAGGAGAAGGAGGAGGAGGAGGACGAGGAGGAGGGCCAGGAGGAGGTGGTGGGCCAGGAGAAGGAGGAGGAGGGATGATGATGATGATGATGATGATGATGATGATGATGATGATGATGATGATGATGATGATGAGGAGGAGGAGAAGGAGGAGGAGGAGGAGGAGGAGAAGGAAGGATGCGGCGGAGGAGCAGGAGGATGAGGAGGAGGTGGAGGAGGAGGAGGAGGAGGAAGAGGAGGATGGACGAGAAGGAGGAGGATGGAGGATGCGGGGGCGGAGGAGGAGGAGGAGGACGAGGACGAGGACGAGGAGGAGGAGGAGGAGGAGGAGGGAGGAGAAGGAGGATGGAGGATGCGGAGGAGGAGAAGGATGCGGAGGAAGAGGAGGAGGAGGAGGAAGGAGGAGGATAAAGATGGAGGATCAGGAGGAGGAGGACGAGGAGGGAGGACGAGGAGGGAGGAAGAGGAGGAGGAGGAGGAGGAGGAAGCTGACGCCCGACATTTTTCGACCGCACCCGAGTGTGACCGAAACATCTGGCCCGAAACCAAGACGGTGTACAATTCTCGCCACCAAGTCGGCTACCTACCCTCAGGGGGCCATGACATCTGGGGGCCCCCCCGGCACCAAAGGGTCCCTCCAGCGAAGGGTCACCGCTGCGTCTACGGCTGGCTCGTGCCTCCGAAGCGCTTGGGACGGCCGCGCGCCGGGCGAGGGCGCGAGGCGCGCCGTGCCGTGCCCCCGGCGGGGCCCGCGGGATCGGCAGCACTCCGCGCGAGAGGCGGCGGGTGCACACCGAGGCGCGGCGAGCGGCGCCTCGCACCGCAAACGGAGAGTTCACTCATCGACGTGTCGGGGTGGGGGTTCTGTCCCCCCCCCCCCCCCGCGACTCCCTTGCCCCCCCGAGGGCCGGGCTCTCGCACAGCCTGCGGCGGCTCGGAGGTGGGGCCCCGAGGGTCGGGGGGGGGCTTCGGAAAAAGGCGTGGTCCGCGAAGAAGACGCACTCAGAGCTATCGGGGGGAGGAACGGGGACGGGCAAGGCGATGACCGCGCTACAGGCACGGGTGCGAGCTGGCGAACCCCGAGGGGGGGTCCCGTGCGAGCGGGGACCCCGATCCGACAACACACAGCCATAGCCACACCAAGCATTCCACCCCGGGAATTCGAAGGGACGTATAGGTATGGGTGTTAGTTGTCAGCTCGTGGCAAGGTGTCCTCTGCTTTTCGCTCCAATCTGAAGCCCGACGGGGCCCTCTGGGCCTCGTGAGGGGCGCTCTGGAGGCCATGTGGGACTCCCTGGATATCCCGAGAACGCCTCGAGTCAGGTACATCTCTGGCAACACCCGACTGAGAAATGGTCCTGTGGCAACTCAGGGGAGCCTTCCATACCCGTTGGGCGGCCTGGAGGGATGCCAGGTGTTCTGGGAAAGTCTTCGGGAAAAACAAAAAGATACTAGTCCAACACCAAGGTTCCGAGACAGATCCGGCCGAATCGGCGAGGGCTCTCCAGGACAAAACATAACAAAAAACGGGGTGCGGATAAGAGATCGGAATCTTTGTCTTGCCAGACATCCACAGGTCGAACTGGACCCCTTCCGAGGACCGATTTTTCATCCTGAGCCGTTGTTTGACGGCCGCGGGGCAGGGCAAAGCACGCTGGAGGCCAAAAACCGCTGGAAGCCTTCCGTCGTTCTTTCGTTCACGTCTCAAGGATATCGCAGTCTTCCTCCTTCTGCGGCAACTCATGGGACCCTCCCATGCCATCTTGTTGGCTCTTGCGAATCGGCGCTGATCGACGCCAAATCAACGCCAAATCGACACGAATCATCGTGATCCAAAAGGGGGTCCAGCTGAAAGGGGGTGGTGCAATAGATTTGGGGTAATTGTATTGAACATGCATTGCGCCAACATTGTTTTGCAACTATTGTATTGCCCGCGGAAACCCAGCAATACATTTGCGCCCCAGGATATATTGCACGCCCCATATCTATTGCAACCCAACAGATCGATTGCACCACATCCATTGCACCACCCCCTTTTCGCTGGACCCCCTTCTTGGTCAACCAAAGCTACTCGACGCGAAAATCGGCGCTGCATCATCGATGACCAGGCGCCGATCGACGCGAGTACACTCGAAAGACGGAATTGCGAGGTACACAAGGCTCCCAGGATCTGCTACTCGCCATCGCTCGGACGTCCACTTCACGCGCATTAGTCGGCTTCGTTCTCGCACTTTTTGTTTCGCAACCCGACCCGAAAGGCTCCTCCGTGGCCCCCACCGAAGAAAAAGGCACACGTCCGAGCGACAACAACAACAACAAAATTATAGCCGGAGTGCAGTATCCCCAAGCAGGTTTTTTTAGACCCACTGCGGTTTCCAAGGTCGATTGCGTGCCCGTCCAGTGCGGGCTGGCATGGCATGTTAAAACATGCCTCCTCCTCCTCCTCCACCTCCTCCTCCTCCTCCTCCACCTCCTCCCTCTTCTTCCTCCTTATCCTCCTCCTCCTCCTCCTCCTCCTCCTCCTCCTCCTCCCTCCTCCTCCTCCTCCCTCTTTCGCCTCCTCCTCTCCCTCCTCTCCTCCTCCTCCTCCTCCCCTCCTCCGAACGGCATCTCGGAGCCCAGAGTTGCGAGGATGTCTCCAGCGTAACGGGCTGGACCACCTCGCGCGCGGCATTTCGGACCCCAGAGTTGCGACGATGTCTCGGGCGAAACGTGCTGCGAGGAAGTCTCAGGCGAAACGGGCCGGACCACCTCGAGCGCGGCGTCTCAGAGCTCCGAGTTGCGGGGGCCTCCTGGGGCCTCCTGGGACCTCCTGGCGACCTCCTGGGGCTTCCTCCTGGGCCTCCTGTGGCCTCCTGGACCCCGCCTGGGGCTTCCTGAAGCCTCTTGGTGCCCCAGGTTGGGATATCTAACATGTGGCCGTCGGGGCCCCCCAAAATGGGGGGGGGCAGGAAAAATCAACGAATCGGCACCGGATGTTTATTAACTTGACACGTTCTGATAGGGGGCCTCCTGGGGCCTCCTGGGAGCCTCCTGGGAATCTCCTGCGGACCCCTGGGGCCTGTCCTGGGCGTCCTGCGGCCTCCTGAAGCTCTCTGGGGCCTCCTGGGGCTCCCAGGGTCCCAGGGGGGATATGTAACATGTGGTCTTCTGGGCCCCCAGGCTGGACCACCTCTTGCGCAGGCATCTGGGAGCTCAGAGTTGCGAGAATGTCTTGTGGGAAACGGGCCGGACCACCTTGCGCACGGCATCTCAGAGCTCAGAGTTGCGAGGATGTCTCAGGCGAGATGGGCCGGACCACCTCGCGCAGGGCATCTCGGAGCCCAGAGTTGCGAGGATGTCTCCAGCGTAACGGGCTGGACCACCTCGCGCGCGGCATCTCGGACCCCAGAGTTGCGACGATGTCTCGGGCGAAACGTGCTGCGAGGAAGTCTCAGGCGAAACGGGCCGGACCACCTCGAGCGCGGCGTCTCAGAGCTCCGAGTTGCGGGGGCCTCCTGGGGCCTCCTGGTGACCTCCTGGGGCTTCCTCCTGGGCCTCCTGTGGCCTCCTGGACCCCACCTGGGGCTTCCTGAAGCCTCTTGGGGCTCCCAGGGGGGGATATCTAACATGTGGCCGTCGGGGCCCCCAAAAATGGGGAGGGGGCCACAAGAGCAGGAAAAATCAACGAATCGACACCGAATGTTTATTAGCTTGACACGTTCTGATAGGGGGCCTCCTGGGGCCTCCTGGGAGCCTCCTGGGAATCTCCTGCGGACCCCTGGGGCCTGTCCTGGGCGTCCTGCGGCTTCCTGAAGCTCTCTGGGGCCTCCTGGGGCTCCCAGGGTCCCAGGGGGGATATGTAACATGTGGTCTTCTGGGCCCCAGGCTGGACCACCTCTTGCGCGGCATCTGGGAGCTCAGAGTTGCGAGAATGTCTTGTGAAAAACGGGCTGGACAAACTTGCGCACGGCATCTCAGAGCTCAGAGTTGCAAGGATGTCTCAGGCGAGACGGGCCAGTGTCTCGGGCGAAACGTGCTGCGAGGAAGCCTCAGGCGAAACGGGCCGGACCACCTCGAGCGCGGCGTCTCAGAGCTCCGAGTTGCGGGGGCCTCCTGGTGCCTCCTGGGGCCTCCTGGGGACCTCCTGGGGCTTCCTCCTGGGCCTCCTGTGGCCTCCTGGACCCCGCCTGGGGCTTCCTGAAGCCTCTTGGGGCTCCCACGGGGGGATATCTAACATGTGGCCGCTTGGGCCTCTCAAAATGGAGGGGGGGCACAAGAGCAGGAAAAATCAACGAATCGACACCAGATGTGTAATTATAACTTGACACGTTCTGTTAGGGGGCCTCCTGGGGCCTCCTGGGAGCCTCCTGGGAATCTCCTGGGGACCCCTGGGGCCTGTCCTGGGCGTCCTGCGGCCTTCTGGAGCTCTCTGGGGCCTCGTGGGGCTCCCAGGAGCCCAGGGGGGATATGTAACATGTGGTCTTCTGGGCCCCCAGGCTGGACCACCTCTTGCGCGGCATCTGGGAGCTCAGAGTTGCGAGAATGTCTTGTGCGAAACAGTCCGGACCACCTTGCGCACGGCATCTCAGAGCTCAGAGTTGCGAGGATGTCTCAGGCGAGACGGGCCGGACCACCTCGCGCAGGGCATCTCAGAGCTCAGAAGTTCGAGATGTCTCAGGCGGGCTCCCAGGGTCCCAGGGAGGATATGTAACATGTGGTCTTCTGGGCCCCCAGGCTGGACCACCTCTTGCGCGGCATCTGGGAGCTCAGAGTTGCGAGAATGTCTTGTGCGAAACAGGCCGGACCACCTTGCGCACGGCATCTCAGAGCTCAGAATTGCGAGGATGTCTCAGGCGAGACGGGCCGGACCACCTCGCGCAGTGCATCTCAGAGCTCAGAAGTTCGAGGATGTCTCAGGCGAAAAGGGCCGGACCACCTCTCGCGCGGCATCTCCGAGGTCAGAGTTTCGAGGATGTCTCAGGCGAAACGGGCCGGACCACCTCGCGCAGGGCATCTCAGAGCTCAGAGTTTCGAGGATGTCTCAGGCGAAACGGCCCAGACCACCTCTCGCACGGCACCTCGGGGCTCAGAGTTTCGAGGATGTCTCAAGCGAAACGGCCCGGACCACCTCTCGCGCGGCGTCCCTGAGCGTAATTTTTCGGGGATGTCTCAGGCGAAACGGCCAATCCCGGCCAACTCAGAAACGAGAGCCCGGACCATCAAATTTTTGTGAGGATGTCTCTGCTCCGACTTCCCTCGGCCAGAGTTAGCTTCTATCACAACAGCACCCCGTTCAGCAAGCTGTTTGGGGGAGAAAAAAAAAAAAAAAAAAAAACTCATCGGACCCTGTGCTCCTGGAGTCGTGAAGGCAAGAGGGCCTAACCGGCCTGAGCCGGCAACTCCACCCCATGGAGCCCCAGCTCCCGTCGGGGGCGACGGAAGGGAGGGGGGGGGGGGGGGGGGCGAACGGCCCAGGGGAGCGCAGCACGGGGGGCCCGCGGCAGGCCGCGGTGCGAGGCACCACCCAGGGATCCACTGACCAGGGTCCATCCAAGCCCGGGCCAGTCAGGCGCTCTGATCTTGCAGGATACTGCACGCTGGCCCGGGCCACTGCGCCCCTGGCTCTGCGGCATCCTGCAAGATCTGGCGCTCTGGCTGCCCCCCGTCCGTACTGACCCCCGTGCCCTGAGCCCCGAGCACTCAGAAGGTGAAGCTCCTCCGGCGCCGCAGGCGCACGCACTCCTGGGGCGTCTCCTCTCGGAGGGCAGAAGAAGCCAAGCCGAAGCCAGCACGAGGAAAAAAAAGGGTGGGGACCAATCGAGAACCTCTGCGAATTCCGCTGCTCTGGACGATATCTCGGACGCCGCGGCCATCTCAAAGCGTTCCGGAACGCTCTGAGAGCGTTCCGGAACGCTCTGGAAGGGATGCATCCTCGTCCCAGCCCCGTCCGAGAACCGCCCTCGCAAGAAGCACCCCGAAGAGCGAAGCCGTATCCAGCAAGCACAGCCACACAGGGAGTCCAGCAGGGAAGGGCTGTTTCGCAAGCGCGACGGACCGCTTGGCAGTCGAGCGACGAAATAACGCGTCTTACGCGCGATGGCATCGCAACCTTGCGCGGTGGCTTGCGCGGACCGCCAGCGCGGCACGCCACACTGGAAACGAGGGCGCCTAATTACGCGCGACCTTACGCGGCAACTTACGCGCGATGTCCGCGCAATCGACCCCGCTTTTCTTCGACTGCGCACAACAGTGACCCTGGAGAAGAGTGACCCTTGGTGCGCGACCTTTTGGAGGCCGCGGGGTGACCAAACACAGGCGCGCAAGACCTTACTACAGTGGAGGCCCGACCGCAAGAAACCTTCCACAAGAAACCCAACCCTGAGACCCCAGGACATCCATTGAAATTTGGTGTGGGAACGTCACGCCTTCCACATCAGAACCATCGAAACCCAAGAAACTCCGGGCACCCTGGAGGCAAGCAGGGTGCTTCTCGGCGTGGGCCTACAGAGTATCGCATCGCGTTCGGCGATCGAGGGACCCCAATGCGCCCGCACAAGAAGTCACATCGGCGAAGGGTCACTCTTACGTCTAGTCGAGTGTTCGTTGCGTCGACGGCGAAGGGTCACTCTTTTGTCTAGTAGATGTTTTCTTGCGTCGCTCAAACTTGCCGATGGCGTGGGCCTCGGGGCTGGAGCTTCTTCCGCCCTCGGGCCTCTGGGCCTCGAGGATCTGGTCGTCGAGGCTGCAGCTCCTGCGAGGCCGGGCAGCGCCTGCTGGCCTTCTCCCTCCTGGAGGGGGGAAAATCGGGGGCGAGCGAGGGGGGCGCTTCGAGGTTCTGGGGCGTCTTCGTCGGTCCTCCGCGGTTTTCCAGCCCCTGGATGCTTGCCAGCAGCTGCGCCTCGCCGAGGGCGTTCCGGGGGGGGGGCCCAGATCGTCCCGAACGCTGGCCAGAGACCCGAGCTATGGCCCAAAAACCAAACTCGGCGGCGAGCGAGCGGGGGGAAGTGAGAAGAAGAAGGCCTTCTCAAAGGCGGCGGGACATCTCAGAAACCCTCGCGCCTTCTGAGAAAATTGTCTGCGTCGTCGGACGAGGTTCTAAAAAGTTCTCAGAAGGCCGGAAGACTTCCGAGCCTTCTGCGAAGGCGTTCTCCTTCTCACTTCCCCCCCTGGGCTCGCCGCCGAAGAACGCCGGGGGGAGACTGGCTCAGGGGCGGGGAGCGGGGCATCGACCTGGAAAATCGGCGATGGATCGCCGATAGATCGGCGATACCGTCGGTCCTGACTGGAGAGGACACGCGAGAGGGCAGGAGACCCTTCCGAGGGCTACACTGCCACAGGAACGTGGAAGGCACGGGTCTCTCTGAAGACAGGACCAAAAGGGTACCCTTGACTTGGCAGGGTCGACCAACACGCAAGAGTGACCCTAGGCAAGAGTGACCTTCGGCGCGCGAACTAAAGGGGGCTTAAGGTGGCCAAATCCATGCGCGCAATCGGCCGGTATCGCAACGCGCAATCGGCGATCGGGGTGACCCCGATGAGGCCGCACCAAAGGTCACTCCGGCGAAGGGTCACTCTTCCGTGTAGTCTGGAGGGGGGCGGGGCATCGACCTGGAAAATCGGCGATGGATCGCCGATAGATCGGCGGTGGGCCCCCGATAGCGAAATCCACGGTGGGCTCCCGGACGGCGTGGGCTATCGGGCCACCGTCGGCGACGATTGGGCGGTGGGGGGCCGGTGCATCGCCCCCCGAGCCTGTAGCCATCCCCCACTTATTGTTGCCCCAGACTCCTGCGGCGGTCCTGTAGGGCCAGGAACCTCCTCCTCGCGAGCTCGGCGTACACCCGCGTTGGCGTGCGCGGGTCAAGGTCGAGCCGCTCGGCGCCGCCGTCGTCGTCGCTCTCAGAGTCGAAGCCTGACGCGGCGGCGCGCACAAGGGGGCTGAAGTGGAGGGAGTGAGAACGACGACCATGACCAAACCTGAAGGCGGAAACGTCGGTGACAATCTTGGCCACCATGCATCTCGGTCACCGTCGATTCGTTGATCATCCTCGCGAATCGGCGGCAGCTGGCATGCATCATGACCAAGATCGGCGTCGACAAGATCACGCGACATCCTGGTCATGGTCAGCGTGTTTCTTCCCTCGAGCGGGGTGGGCAGAGGTCGGGCATTGCCAGATCCAGACATGCTCGGCTTCGTGACACGAGTCACGACGGAAGGTTTTCGGCCACTTTCGGCCTCCCGCTGCCCTCGCCGGGCCCCGAGGCTGTCAAAACATGACTCGGGACGGAGAGCCAGTCCTGGAGAAGGGGTCCGGGGGAAAAAAAAGCATCCGATGTCTGGGGAAGTGTCCCCAGCCCAATATTTCCAAAGGACTTGCAGGGAACCTTGAACGATCGGCAGCGTCTCGATCGCCAGATCATTCCACTGTATGTATATATATATATATATGTATATATATACACAAGACTGCAGTGGCGCTTCGCGCCATGCACCTTGGTCCTTGAAGTTTGGTATGCAGGTGGAAAATCAGGAAGGTCAAGCCGACAATTTAGCGATAACTCTTTGTTGCCTTTTCTGGCATCGCCGCTATAATAATGTTACTCGTTATCATTCCTCCATGTTTCTTTTCCCTCATTTTCGCCATACCCTGCACATTCTCCCCATCCTCCTCGGCTCTTTTTGCGGAGGCTCCTCCCTGGAGAGCGTCTGGGGGCCTCGCAAAAGTTATGTCAAGCTTTCTTGAGGCCTTAGGGAGGCCTCTTGGGCGTGTTCTCGGGGCCTCTGGGGTCTTCCTCGGGTCGCCCTGCCTCCAACCGCGGTCTCCCTGAACGACTGGGTCACGATTTGGAATGCTTCGGAGGGTGTCTTGGGGCCGTCTTGGGCCGCCATGGGGCTCTCTGAGGGTCATCTTGGACCCCTTCGACTGCCTGGAAGCCCTTTGGAATGGTTATGGGGGCGATTTTAGAGCCTCCCAGGCGGCTTCGGACGCCCAGAAGACCGCCGTCTTGGAGCGTCGGGAAGCCCAGAGGAGAACCCCAAAGTTCACCAAAAACCAATAGAAAATAAATGATTCTTGCCAGAAAATCAATGATTCTTGCCTCTTGGGGCCTTCTTGGGAGTGCTCTTGGAGGCCTCTTGGGACGTTTCGGGACGATCTTTGGGGATATGATGGCTTCTTGGGGGTCGTCTTGAGGTCACGTCGGTCACTCTTGGAGCGCTCTTGTGCTGTCTTCGGGGTCTCTGGGACGTCTCCGATGACCCCCCCGATCGCCCTAGGTGTGCTGGGAAGGCCTGGCAAGACGCCCTGCGAGGCCCCAAGGGCCGCTTCGAGGCCCGTCCGGAGGGCCCCAAAGCCCCAGATCCTGGGAGCCCGTTTTTTTTTTGGGGGGGGACGGGTTTTCCCCCCGCCCGGGCTTGGAAAAATATAGGAAGAGGAATATTAAATCGATTCTGGGCCACTGGCGACGTTCAACCTTGAATGGGCGCGCTGGGTTCGCAGCCACGTCGACACGACGCGAACCTGCCGCGGCTGGTTCTCCCAGCGCCGAGTGCGGAGCGCGGGCCTGTGATCAGGCAGTTCGGGACGCTTCGCCACTGCTCGAATCCCCATCCCCCAGAAGAAGACACCAATGCGCAAGCGGCACCTGTCGAATTTCCGCGTGGATTTCTTGGGGCGGCGCTGGACCCCTGGGCGGCGCCTCTGGCGCCGCCCCCAGCGCGGGGCGCGCGGACCTCTGGAAGCTCTCTGTCCATGCCGTTTGCTCTTCGCCGATCCCCACTGGCACGGCCTCGGCCGCACTGGCCGACTTCAAAGCCCACTGGGTGGGGAGTTGCCTTCGGGCTTCGCGGGGCTCGTCCCCGCCAGAGCAGGGGGCTGAGGTGCCATGGCCCAGTGGGGGTGGAGATCGGTCAGACGATGCGGAGCACTCGCCATCTCGCCGAGAAAAGAGGCACACGTCCGAGCGATGCCAAAAGCAGAGGAGGGTCCTCGTGGCGGCGTGGTGTCGATGACGTTCGGCGCCCTGCTCGATGCATCTCCAGCCTCCAGCCCCGGATGCCTTGATCTTTGTTCGAACACGGGGCCCCCAGAGGTCCCGACCCGTTCCCCAGGGCGAACTCTCCAGACCGAGCCGTTTATCGACGGCCCCCGGGTCAGAAGCGAGGGCCCCCGGAGGCCGAGACTTGCCAAAAACCTTCCGTCGTGCCTTGGCTGCGACGGCAAGCCGCGTGCATCGAGGCGCACGTCCGAGCGATGCCAGGTCGCGCATCGAGGGGCCGAGAGAGCAGCTGCCCCGGCGCGGAGGCGCGCCCACCCAGCACGGCCCCAGGCCACGCCAGCTCCCGAGCGACCCACGCGTGGGTGGGTCACCGACGTCCCCCCCTTGTCCCCACACACCCCTGTCCACACACACACACACACACATCCGGCCGTGCGAACGTATAGTCAAACCTAGGCCACAAGAACCTCCGTACGGAGCCCCCCGCCGGCCTAAACACCCCAGGTCACAACATCACCGAGGGTAGCCTCTCCCAGGATGCACAAGAACATCCAACAAACACGGAGAACAGATGGGTGCCCTCCTCGAACCGACCTAGACCCTACGCCTCGGTCCGACGGCAGAGAAGCGATCTACGAAATGGTATAGGATGGGAGGGAGGGGCAGGACGTCAGATATGACGCTTGCGCACCCAGCTTGCCCCCTCTCCCCCATTTCTCCGGGGAAACCAAAAGGTACCGACACTGCTACTCCCTGGACCTCTCCTGGGGTGTTTTCTGACCAGAATTTCTCCAGCGGTGGCGACGAGGGCCTACCAGGAGGCCCAGACAGGGGGAAACCGAGGACCTACCAGGAGGTCCAAACAGGGGGAAGCCGAGGGAAGGGTAGCGGCATGGGTACCTTTCCTTCCTCTGACTCGCGTCCCCCCCCCCCACCCCCGACCCATTTCTTGCACGCGGCCGCCAGTCTGCCTCGGACGTGGGAAAGAGGAGCCTTCTCAGAAGGCGGGAGGGGTCCTCTGAGAACCTCGACCTCCGACGCCGTCACTTGTCCTCTACTCGAGTAGGGGATCGACCACAATATTGATTTCCCCAAAAATGGGGTTTTCGTCGAATCTACGGAAAAATTCAAAGCCCCATAGATCTACAAGCATTGTACACTATGTGCCGTAACTTCGACGAGAAAATAACATGTCGGGGTGAATCAAATCTGCAGTGGATCTTTTACTCGAACAAGGCGGCTCCCCCGAGATCTGCACCCCCAGAGGCCCAGACCCCTTCCCCGTCGGGGCACGCCCCTTCATCCTGAGCCGGTCTTCGACAGCGCAGGGGCCCAGCGAGGCCCCTGGGAGGCCGAAAGTATGGAAGCCCCCCGCCGCGAGTCTGTCCTCGAGGGCTCCCCCCCTCGCGCCTTCCCCCCAATTTTAAAGAGCAACGTGAAAGGGGGGGAACCATCGAGCCGGAGTCGGCGATACATCGCCGACAGACCGGCGACCCCCGACAGCGCATCCGCACTTTTTTACGTCGCAGCGCGACACAGGCGATCCGCACGCGCGCTCTAGCGAGCCAGGCTGGGGCAGGCACTTGCTGTCTGGCGGCAAGAGGGACCTGGGCGGAGCGCGGCCGCGGAGGGCGGTGAAAGAGGGAGGGCACTCGCAGCACGAGGAATAGCGCATCCGCACGCTCCTGGGCGAGTAGTTTTTTTGGTGGTAGAAGCGTTCGTCACGATTGCGCCATGAAGCATTGAAACCTCACCGAGAACACCCTGAACAAGTGGCTGACGCTACCACCTGATGTGCGGCGCGAATATTCTGGGCCCATGCCTCATCGTGCAGTGCGCTCCGAATTTGTTAGGGTCTTAGTTTACATGCCTATCGCCTATCACCTCCGCGAAGGCACCTCTTCATCTTCTGAATGCGCTGCCCTCGTGTTCAGGCAGCTTCGGGTCCGAATCGCCCCTGCCACGCGTGAACGGCAAGAGCGCGGCCTGCTCTCTGTCGAAGCCAGAGCCAGGGAACAGGTAGAGGGTTGCGAACTCAAGCAGCACGCTCTCGCCGCCCCCGAAGCTCACGGCCCCATGTGCGCGCGGCTTGTGCCCATCGCCCCTCAAATGCTGGTAGATCGCATTGCCCTTGGCGGAATTCTCGAAGCTGCACTTCTCGAAGCACTGCTTGCTTTCCCTGCTCTCCACGGCTTCTATGGCCCTGAGAATTTCTCTCTGCGATGGATCACTCGCCTCCGCCATTCCTCGTACCCACTCGAGCTGACCTGACAACAACCGCACTTCGCCCCTGACGTCGAATTTCTTCCCCTTAAGCTTTTCCGAGCAGTTCGTGCCGAACAAGCTATTCATGAGGTCAGCGATCGCGGATTCTGGCAGCCACGAAACCACCACCCTGAGACCTGTCTCCTTGGCCCACTCTGAAGCCTTCCCGAGCTTCTTCGTGCGCTCTTCACTGGTGGGCGAGTCCCCCTTGATGTCCTTCACCCAGACGAGCTCTGGCACTGACAGATGGGATCTCCGGCACTCGTCCGCGAAAGCCTTGACGTAGCGCTGGAAGCCATCGCCCCAAGGATCGCCGTCGACCACCAAGTAGTCTGGGCCGAAACTTCGGATGGCTTGGACAGCGCGGCGAACTTGACTGGCTTCTTGGTCGGCACTGTGCGCTCCGTTGCCGAAGCCGCCGCCGAAACCTTTGACGTGCAATACTCGCTTGCCGGAGACGAGCTCTCGTAATTCCTTTAGTGTCCCCAGCTCCCGTGGGTTGTCCTGTGACTCCTGTGGGTGTATCCTCTTGCTGCGCCGGAGCCAGCAGAAGCAGGCGGTCCCGACAGCAGTGGTGCCAGCCAGACAAGCTGGCAAGTTATCGCTCAGCAACAATATCAACGGCGCCATTGAAACAGAACGCTGGCTTACATAGAATGCTTCGTGCCCAAACTGCTGACTTGAACCAACGCTCCTGGGCGAATAGTGGGCGACTGGGGGCCGATGCGTCCCCCCCTGAGCCTATCGCCCCCCCCGCCCGTCCATTGCAGGCGGCAGGAGGGCCTGCACGGTTGGGACCTCAGGAAAACGGCCAGGAGGGGAGGATGAGGCCAAATCAGCTCAAAATCGATCCCCGGAACCCTCCAGGGGGTCCATCTGGTGCAACTTCTCTCACCCCCGATCCGTTTTTCACGGCCCCCGGTCCCGAAAACTGCCCCCAGAGGCCGCAAAAGACCAAAAACGTTCCCGATCGAGTCTCTTCCCCGTCCTGCTTGCCAGAACCAGTGCTTGGCCACCTCGGACCCCTCACTGGCTACAACCCTCACGTTTCGGATACATGCAGGAGTGACACTGGGCAAGAATGACCTTTGGTGCGCGGCCGAAGAGGGGGACGAGTGGTCCAGAACCAAGCGCGGAAGCCGCCGCTGCCGCTTCGCGCTCAGCGATGGGAGGAATCCATTTTCGCAATCGCTTGGACGTCCATTTCCGTGCATTTTTCGATTTCGCGCGTTGTCCATTCCCCGTGCATGTTTCGGCTTCGTGCGCTCATGTTGCGCACGATGATCCAGGATGCCCATCGAGGGTCCTCGCAGAGCAAAAAAAACAAAAACAAAAAAAACAGGCCCGAACGATGCCGAGACCCAAGGTCACTCCGGCGAAAGGTCACTCTTACGTCTAGCCGAACGTTGCCCCTCACCCTGTCATCATCATCATCATCATCATCATCATCATCATCATCATCATCATCATCATCATCATCATCATCATCATCATCATCATCATCATAATCCCACCACCACCACCATCATCATCATCATCATCATCATCATCCTCATCCTCATCCTCATCCTCATCCTCATCATCATCATAATCATCATCATCATCATCATCATCGTCATCATCATCACCACCATCATCACCATCATCATCAGCATCATCATCAGCATCATCATCATAACTATCATCATCATCATCGTCATCATCATCACCACCACCACCACCATCAATCATCATCAGCATCATCATCACCACCACCACCACCATCATCGTCATGGTCATCATCATCATCATCATCATCATCATCATCATCATCATCATCATCATCATCGCAATCATCGTCATCATCATCATCATCATCATCATCATCATCATCATTATCAGTATCATCATCTTCATCATCATCACCCTCGTCATCACCATCACCATCATCATCACCAGCATCATCATCATCAGCATCATAATCATCATCAGCATCATCATCATCACCATCATCATCTTCATCTTCATCTTCATCGTCATCTTCATCTTCATCATCATCATCATCATCAGCATCTGCAGCATCAGCATCAGCATCATCAGCATCATCAGCATCATCACCATCATCACCATCACCATCATCACCATCATCACCATCATCACAATCATCTGCATCATCATCAGCAGCAGCATCATCATCATCACCACTAGAAAATCATCATCATCATCAGCATCATCATCTTCATCTCCATCTTCATCTTCATCATCATCATCATCATCATCACCATCACCAACACCAGCATCATCACCAGAATCTTCATCATCACCATCAGCATCATCAGCATCATCAGCATCAGCAGCATCAGCATCAGCAGCATCAGCATCATCATCATCACCATCATCATCATCACCATTTCCATCATCACCATCATCACCATCATCACCATCATCATCATCATCCTCATCCTCATCATCATCATCATCAGCATCATCAGCATCATCATCATCACCACCACCACCATCATCATCACCATCACCATCACCATCACCATCACCACCAGCATCATCATCACCACCACCACCATCATCATCATCATCATCACCATCACCATCACCATCACCATCACCATCATCATCATCATCAGCATCATCATCATCATCATCATCATCATCATCATCATCATCATCATCGTCGTCTCCCTCGCCGCCCTCCTCCTCCTTCTCGTTGTCGTCGTCGTCGTCGCCGTCGCCGTCGCCGTCGTCGTCGTCGTCGCCGTCGTCGTCGTCGTCCTCGTCGTCGTCGTCGTCGTCCGCGCCGCTGGCCTGTCTCGGACGTGTAGGGCGAGCTCGCCTCGGACGTGTAGGGCGTCGAAGACCACGAAGGGAGGCCAGGCGCGGCGGTCTCGTCGTCGAGCGAGCCGGGCGGCAACTCGGCGCCCTCCTGGGACGCACAGGGACATACTTCCTGCAGGAGATAGACTACAGAATCGATGTATCCTGACATTGACATGTTCGTCGAATCGTCGTACGCAGAACATTCTGCGCATCATTCACAGGCTCGACGAAAACCGTAGTTCGGGGGCAAAGCAAGTCTGTAGTCAATCTCCTACAGTGGAGGCCAGTCAACAAGAAACCTTCCACAAGAAACCCAACCCTGAGACCCCAGGACGTCCATCGATTTTTGGTGTGGGAACGTCACGCTTTCCCCATGGCAAAACCATCCAAACCCAAGAAACCCAGGGCACCCTGGAGGCAAGCAGGGTGTTTCTTGGCATGGGCCCCCACTGTAGTCGATCTCCTGCTCGACGTCTGCGCCTTCGGAGAAGGCCTCGAAAAAGCCTCGGAAAACCAGAGGCCTTCCGGGCCTTCTGAGCAGGCCGGGCCCCCTTCCGACCCCACCCGGGCACGCCGACAGCCGAGGTCCCGACCGCTTCCCATGAGGCTATCGGGCCCCCGTCGGCAATCGATGGGCAATCGGGGGTCGATGCGCCCCCCAAGAGGAGAAGGAGGAGGGGGAGGAAGGGGAGGAGGGGGAGGAGGGGGAGGAGGAGGAGGAGGAGGAGGAGGAGGAGGAGGAGGGAAGCCACTGGGGCTCAGGCCATTTTGGCGGAGCACAGGGCTCAGGCGCCGCGCCCCCTCACGATTGTTGCTCGTGAAAGCTCCCGCGGCTCGGCCGGCGGCTGAGCACCAGAGGGCGCGCGCGACCCACGGCGCGCTCGGGGCGCCGCAGGGGCTCCCCCGAGCCAGCCTGGCACAAGAGGCAGCGGGCACAGCGAGGGCGAGCTCGCCTTCTCCTCAGTGTACTCCAGGCCAAGCGCCTCCTCGAATCGCATCACAGCACGATGGGTGGAGGTACTTGGACATGCAGGCAGTGCGAGACAAGAAATCCTAACTCTCAGTGGACATGCTCGTGTGGCAACGTGTGGGCTCCTCGCCCCGATCCCACCAGACGCTCGGCCAGCAGAAAAAGGGACCAGAAGAAGTCCGCCAGCATAAGGGAGTTGATCGCACAGATCCCTGTAGCAGCACCTGATGAAGCGATTGCCAACATCACGGTGTGGGAGCCGCCGCCACCAGAGGCGGACGAGCTGAAGTTCTACAAATCAAGGGCCCAGTCGAAGCTCCAGAAGTTCGCCAACCTCCTTGTCGCGGTCCGTGACGCAGGGAAGGAGGACCCAGCCCTGGAGTTCGACATAGGGGTGCTCAAGTACATGATGAGTGCATGCAAGGGCTCAGAGAAGCAGTTGCATGAGTTGAAAGCCCAGCTCATCAGCGCAAAAGAGAGGCTCGGCAAGATTCGAGCTAAGATCGAGGAGCTGTTAGACGAGGAGGCGACGCTCTGCCTGATGGTGCAGAAGCTGCAGAACTCCATCCAGCAGCTACGAGAAGCGGAGGACGCACCAGATCACGAGGAGGACTGGTTGATGGCCCCGCCAGGAGGAAGTGAACATGGTCTCAGAGCAGCCAGCAGTGCCCAGAGGCCGTGGGTACAGGCGGCGGCTGAGAGGGCGGCAGCACAGGCGGAGGCAAAAGCTCAGTCAGTCAAGGCCGCGGCGGAAGCAATCGCCAGCAGAGTACCGCCGCCGCCGCCACCAACGCCCAATCAGCCCATTGCACAGGCTCAGGCTTATCAGCCAACCCAGAAGGCAGCACCAAGGGCAGCCTCAGGGGCGCCGCGCAGCCAGCCAGCCACTGCAGCCGCTGCGCCGAAGGCTACAGAGCCCGACGGCCCGCGTGCAGCATGGCACAGTGGACTTCGTACCGAGGGGCAAGAGGGTCCAACGGCGGCGGCCATCACTGCGATGACGGAGCAGATGAGAGCCGTGCAGGCCCAGCAGCTAGCCATCCAGGAGCACCTCTCGAGGATGCAGACGGGCCAGAACTTCCATGCCTTCGCCCTGGCCAGGGTATTGGGAGTCGGCATCGGTGCAGCAGCAGGTGATGTCCTCATGGATGCGCAGACGATTCAGAAGGCGCAGCGGGCGGTGATTTCGGGTCTCTCGATCCCTAGTGCGAGCCCCCCTGATCTTCAGGGGTTGGCGCCTGAGCGCACGCAGAGGGACCCCGCCTCCACGGCGCCAGGTTTTGGCGAAGCCCCCCCTGGTGCAGCGCCAGCCACGGGGCCGAGGGCGTCCACGCAGCGCAGAGCGAGCTCGCTAGAGCCTCCCGTGGCGAGGACACCGCCGCCGAAGAGACAGTCGGCATCGCCGAAACCAGCCAGGGCCCCATGCAGAGGCGTCTCAGCCGAAACCAGGACCCAGGCCGAGGAGAAGGCAGTTCCAGACACACCGAGGGCGAAGGGCGCGTCCAGGGTGACGGCAGAACTGCAGAGGAACGAGCCCAAGGAGGAGGTCCTGCCGATAGATCCAGAGCTACTGATCGCGACGCAGCCAATGGTGATGGAGGAAATGATACCTGGGCCAGCGCACATCTTGCAGCACATCCAGGGGGCCTCCATCGACCTGATCAGTCAGACACAGCGCTCTCCCACGCCACCGCCGGCGCAGAGGTCGCCTGGATCGCCAGTGGATCCTCCCCAGCCAGTGCCAGCGGCGCTGTTCCCCCCCGCGTGGGCAGCAGCAGCAGCAGCGGCAGCAACATCTTCAACGGCAGCATCGTCAGCATCGGCAGCGCCTGCGGCAGTGCCCGCGGCATCAGCAGCGGATGCACCTCCTGCGGCTTCGAGGACCCGACCGCTAGAGGAGGAGGAGAACAAAGAGAGGGACATGGGAGACTCGCCCAACAGGTCCCCCCCCAAGAAGATGCAGTGCCAGGGTTACGAGCTGGAAGACGGGTCCAACTTGTAAGGCCCAGCAGGGTCTCATGGGGCACAGTCGAAGTGAAGTGCTTTGAGGCGCATGCACCCATAATTGTCCGACAAGCCAGGGAGACGCTTTCTCGGACCTGTTTCACTAGGCCGATTCTTAGGTCGGCCCATGCCTCGGATATCTCGACCAGGGGATGTGGTCTTGGGAATTCGCAGCCAGGCAATATTTCTTCGGCAGTCACTTCAGGTGTTGCCACTGAGGACTCATCATCAGCTTCCACTCGGTCCAACGGCCGAACGAGGTATCGCTTGCGGGGCAAGGCCTCGAAGGAGCATCTTTTCTTGCCTCGTCCTCGCGAAGTACAGCATGCTGCACATGGGGCGCGAGGACACGAGGCCAATCAAACGTCAATTACAGTTGCGGTGGTGACTGCCCCTCCCCCCCCGCCGCCGCACCCCGCTCCAAACAGGGAGCAGCTCGAAGCAGTTGCCGGGGGGAGTGCGATGGCGTTGAGGGAGGACGGTGGGTATACTACTTCCCTTCGTCTGTTCCCTTTACTTTTCCAGTATCCTGAGAGCAATGGCAGTGGGCACTGTGATTTTCAGGAAGCGGACAGGATTTATCAGGTTTTACTCCAGAACATCAACTGGTTCGAGCTTTGCAATGACGATTTTGGGGATATTCCCTTACATCACACTGCCAAATTTGCTCTGGATATCTCTGCGCGCGGGGCACATAGAGCGAGATCAGTACATATCTATGTCGACGCCTCGTACAGAAAGACGCTCAGGGACTCAGCCTGGGCCTTCGCTGCTGTCGCGATCTCGCCTGACGACACGGTGAGCTTCCTGGGATGGCAAAAAATGAGCGCGTGGGAATCCACAGCAATGCATTTCGAAAGGGACGACGTCACTAGCACGACTATCGAGCTCATGGGGATATTATGGAGCTCACTCTGGGTCTTGGGTTTCTTCGGGCCGAACACGGTGCACTCCCCCCCAGGTCTGGCCATTTTTTGTGATAACCAGTCGGCTGTCAACATATCCTTGGGTTTGGAGGTCCCGTCGGAGAACCAGCACCTGGCCTGGCTTACATACCATACATACCAGTGTGCGCTCAGGAGACACGGCACTTTGCTTTTGCATGTATGCGGTCACTCTGGGCATCCTTGGAATGAGTTGGCAGACAGTCTTGCACGGTCGGACCGAGCGGCTGGGTGTTCACCCCCGCCGGCCTTACGCGAGGCACTCACGTACACGAACGACCTCGAATGGTGGTGGCTAAAGGAGGCACCTGCAGCCACAAGAGAAGCGTACCCTATAGGCCCCGACAATACCTTTCGGTATCCTGGGCGCCCTCAAGTGTCGGTGGAGACGCTAAGGGATACTATGGGATCCCAACCCTCGCAGAAGGCGACCCCCAAGTCTTGCCAGTTCAGTATCAGTGTGAGGCTTGCCACCTTCAACGCCAAGACAGGCAGGGACGCGGAGGCCACGGCGGCAAGGCGCGCCAAAACGTCGGGAGAGGTTCTCAGGTTGCAGTTCGCTCAAGAGCAATGCCACATCATTGGGGTGCAGGAGGCGAGGAATCCGTCGGGGGAGAGATGTTCTGCTGGATACTTTGTGCTTTCCTCGGGGTCCGATGGTGGCAAGAACTTGGGTGTCGAGCTCTGGGTCTCACTGCACCTACCCTACGGGCGACGAGGGGGAGAGGAGCTTTTCTTTGAGCAGAAACATTTTAGACCGTTGTACGCTACCCAGAGGCACCTGGTGGTTGGCTGCTGTGCCCCACTCTTTAGGAAGGTCATCCTAGTTGCCTATGCGCTGCACAACGGTGACGAGTATACCTCGCAGCAGAGGAAACAGTGGTGGCGGGACCTCATCGGGATCTGCCATAAATGGAAAGTACAGTTGGCCTTCCTGGACGCGAATGCCAGGCTCGGCAGCATTGTGTCTGAGGCAGTGGGCAGCGAAGGATTCAGGCAAGATGAGGACGAATCGGGCGGGCTGCTTCATGACATGCTCTTGGAGACGGGCTTAGCTGCGGCTAACACGCTAGTTCCCTCTCTCAGCAAGGACTCGTACACGTTTGTCTCGACGAAGTCGGAAACACCACACAGGATAGACTACATTGCGGTTGAACAGGACATGATTCCCGCATTGGGGCAACATCAAGTACGATATGATATTGATTCCTTTTGCACTGGCAAGGATCATTATCCTGTATTCATGCGCTTCGAGTCCCAGGGCTCCACCAAAGCAGCGCAACAACAGAGCGGCTACGACGCTAGGGGCACCCAGGACCCTGATAAGGCAGCAGCCTTCAGGATGCACCTGGCAGCGTTTCCCACGGTGCCCCACCAGGTCGACATGAATCAGCACTTGCACGACATCATTCAATACATGTCCGCGGGTGCACAAGCTTGCTTCCCTAAACCCGCACGCACTCCGTTCAGGCCATATGTTTCAGAGGCTCTGCTGGGCATTATCATCTTCAGAAGGCAAGTACGGCGGGCGTGGCGTCTCTGGGGTAAGCAGGACTCTAATGGGCTCAGGAGGTTGGTCGCCGCGGCGCTGGAAGCGGGGGCTCCCCAGAACATCACCGATCTCGAGCTGGACCTCCTGGTCTCTGAGCTTTTCCAGGCTTTCGCGGAGTGGGATAAGCAGATCTTGGCGGCAAGCGAGCTAGCCGCGCACATGCTTGAGTTCCTGGTCAAGTCGAAGCCGGCCCTGAGAAGGGCCTTGAAGCTCTCACGCAATGAACTGTTAGATGACCTTGCGCAGCAGTTGTGCAATGCTAGGTCCTCAAACGAGAGTAGAGTGGAGTGGAGAGTGCTGTGCCAGCTGCAAAGGTTTGGGGGAAAGCGCTCCAAGTTCCAAGTCGACGGGCTTAGGATACGACGAGGTTCTCAGGGCGAGGTTCTTGCCACATCTGGAGATCTCTCGGAGGCCCTCACTGATTATTTCACTGTGATTGAAAATGGGCAGGCACTCAGCTGGGAAGAACTGGTTGAGAGATACAACGCCCTCCCTGAGCGTGGAAATGTGTATCCCAGGGAGTTGGACATGATCACCCCCTTCCGCAGGCTCAAGCACGACATCATGAAGGCAGCCAAGAGGAGAGGTGCTGGGCCCGACGGGCTAAGCAACGATCTTTTCCAGGTCGCTCCGCAAGAATGCACTCAGATATTGCTGCCGTTGTTCGTGAAAGTTGACATGGCGTCCAGAGAGCCCCTGCTGTTCAAAGGAGGTTGGCAATGTGATCTACACAAATCTGGGTCCCCCGAACCCCTGGAGCACTACAGAGGCATCCTGCTGGGATGCCACACGGCGAAGTTGCACCATGCCTTCCTCAGGAGTAAACTTCTAGAGGCAACGACGAACATGCTGTCGGTGGTCCAGCAGGGAGCTCTCCCTCAGCGCGGCACTGACATTGCATCCTTGCATCTTCGGTCGGCCATGTTGGCTGCCAAGGCTAGGAAGCGCACATACTTATCGCTGTACACCGACCTAAAGGCGGCATTCTACTCGGTCATCCGAGGGTTCGTTGCCAGAATGGCCCAGAGCAGTGAGGACATCCAGAGCACGCTTACGGGCTTGGAGATACCTAGTTGTCTGGAGCCCCTGTGCCATGCCCTAGTCGCCAAGCCTGGAGCCCTAGACGGACTGAGAAGTAAGCACCTTCTGGAAGCAGTGGTTGATGTGATGGAATGCAACTGGTTCCAAGTGCGGGGGAGTACCAGGGTCGTCTCCCCCCGCCTAGGTACGAGGCCAGGCATGCCACTAGCAGACCTACTGTTCATCATAGCCTTCGACCCAATCATCATCGCGGTCAACAGTAGATTAGCTTCCCTGGGATATCTTCAGAGGACTAAGGATGTGGTCCCGTCTCAGAGGATTTTCAGAGGACGTGATCACGAACATGTAGAAGAAGATGTATGGGATCCTGCCTTCATGGATGACCTCGTCAACGGCATCGAGCTGTTAGACGCTAGGCTCTGGAAGGAGGCGGCCATCGCCCTCGTCACGATCACGCACGAAGAAACCAAGTCTAGGGGGTTCACCATGAACTGGAAGGCGGGCAAGACGGAGCTCATGGCCTTCTTCAGCGGCACAGGTTCCAGGAAGGCACGAGGGGAGTGCGCAGCCTTGGCTGCCACTGGCCTTCTCGTCCCCTCCTTAGGTGTCTCCCTGTGCCTCACTAGAACCTACAAACACTTGGGAAGTTACCAGGACCATCGAATTTCTCTGGGACCTGAACTGGCGCACCGTTGTCATCAGCAGCGACGCCCCCTAGGGGTACTGAGGCGCACTGTTTTTCCCAGGAAGCAAGTCAATGTAAGGGCCAAGTTAATTTTTGTTACGTCTTTGTGCACGTCGCACCTTCTGTATAATGCCCTCACCTGGCACAAGTTAAACGTGAAACAGATGGCGACCCTTGCCCACAACTATTTGAGCCCGTTTAGATTGGCGGCTGGGCTTGGGTACGACGCTGGCTCTGGCAAGGTTGCTGCTGACCACAGAGTTTTTGCCAAGTGTGAGATCTTGCCCGTCGAGCTGGTACTGAGGCTCAGGCGGCTGCGATTTCTTCCCAGGCTTCTCAAATCGGCGCCTGCGTGTCTGCTGGCGATCCTGGACGAGTTAGCCTCTGTGCCTGAATCATGGTCCGCATTATGTTGCGATGACCTGATATGGCTCAGCAGACACGTGAATCTGGACAGGGCATTCTTGCCGTCAGGGCCCCCGGCTTGGTGGCTGTGGCTCCTGAGGTCTAACAGCAACAAGTTCTGGAAGCGAATTTGCAAGCAAGCTGAATCGGCTGCCAGGGCCAGATTTTTGGACGATCAGCGCCATGAAGAATTCAAAGACGGGTGGCGAAAGTGTTGCGTGTCCAAGGGTCTTGCGCTCCCGTCGTTTCTGCGTCCGCCGTCGGTTCTTGCCTTGTATCCCTGCTTGGACTGTGGGGCGGTGTTGGCCACCAAGGGCGCTTGGGCTTCCCATCGCTCGAAGTGCCACCCCCACCTAGATCCCGCCCCCAGCTACGCTTCAGGCACTGTGTGCATGGCTTGCGGTCTCAACTTCCACACGCATCTTAGATTGCTTAAGCACGTTCGGCATGGCTCATCGAAATGCCTGGCGGACCTTATGGCCGTCATCGCACCGATGAGCCCCGAACAACTGATGGCGGCTAAGGCGGAGGACGCGGAGCTAGCACGCACGCTCCGCGAGAAAGGCCACTATGCGGAGTCCGCGCAGCTCCCGCCTGTCCTCACGATGGGACCTAGGCTGAGGGGAGCGGCTGCCTCCAAGGGCCTTCCCACTTGCATGCCGAGAATTTCGTGCCAACCAGTATGCATCCAGGAAGAGATGCCCACGCAGGCAGAGGTCCACATGCCTGTGGCCCCTGGCACTAAATACATTGTGATCCTCCGTGCAGCTCCCAGGAGTCAAGGTGACATCCAGGACAGAGCGGAGAAGTCCAGTGCCATGGTGGGCATGAATGTGTTTGTTTTGTCTATTAATATTCGCGAGCTTTTTCAGGACTCCACTGAGGAACTCCATAAGGAGCTATCGCTCATTAATGATATCATTCTTGCTGGGCGTGTCATTGGACTCGTGGCGGATTTCTTCCTTTCCTCGTGGGACCCCACCCCCCGCTGCAAAGTCAAGGGCGGTGAGTGCAGGCCTTTAAGGAGTTGCGATGAGCCTTGGGGAATTTCTGCCAGGTCGCCCTCGGAATGGAAGCAGCTGGAGCTCGACAATGCCTGTTTGAGGGCGGCACTGACGCTTGCGCTGTGTGCGGCGTCCTCGGGCCTGGCAGTGTTGATCTTTTTTAACCCACCTGCTCCGCAAGCCAATCTTCCCTGCATGTGGAAGGTCCCCGAGGTCAGGTTCCTATGTTCCCTGCATGATACGTCCCCGACGATCACGTCGAGATGTGAGCCCATGGGGGACCGTCAGTGCCTGTGCATGAATGCCATGCCGATCATGGCCCCTACTGACAGCAGCCAGATCGAAGTCTACGCAGCTGCTGTCATCACGCAGGCAGCCTCACAACGCTGTGCCCCCACGCCTCCTGGGGATGCATGGCTGGAGGCGTCAGTTGCCCATCTGTATGCCCCGCTCGATTTGTATTGCGAGTCGGGTTGATGCTGGCCATTGCTGCTCTCCTCGTCCACCGCTACACTTGCCGCCTTCCTCACCGCTGACGTATGCATGCGTGGACACCTCGGACATTGGTCCCCTAGGGCTGCGGGAAGAAGAAGGAGGAGGAGGGGGAGGAGGAGGAGGAGGAGGCGGAGGACGAGGAGGAGGAGGAGGAGGAGGAGGAGGCGGAGGACGAGGAGGAGGAGGAGGCGGAGGACGAGGAGGGGGAGGAGGGGAGGGGGACGAGGAGGCGGAGGAGGGGGGAGGTGCCTATCCCCACCTCTCGTTGCCTCTGAGAAGAAGGCTCCGCCAAAGTTTCGCAAGGCTGGAGGTCTCCCGAGCGTTCTGAGGTGGCCGGGCCCCCTGCAACGTTTTTCCCTGGACTCGCCGCTGGCCGGACGTCCCGACCGCTTCCCAAGGGGCCAGGTTTTCGCCTATGACGAAGCCAGGACGATGATAAAATCGGGTGAAGACAAATCGAGAACCCCTGAGATCCCGCGGCACTGGAGGATGTCTTGGGCGCCGCGGCCTTCTCAGAGCGTTCTGGAACGCTCTGAGAGCCTCTCTGGAATGCTCTGGAACGCATTCATCCTCGTCCTGGTCCCGCCCGACCCGGGTCAATTTTGTTGTGGCCCCCGGTCCCGAGTGGGCCCCGTGAGGCCGAAATGGAGGCGAGACGTCTAAATTTGAAAAAAGTCATGTCGTCACAGGCCTGGGTTTCCACTGCCTGCGGCCTCGTCGGCCCACTCGCAGCGCGGCTGCCGGAAGGCCGGCTCCGCGGGGCGCGGGACGAGCGGCGCCGGGGGGCAGCTCTCGGACGCGACCATCCTCGCCTTCTAGAAGGGACGGCAACGACGACGACGACGACGATGACGACGACGACGTCGTCGTCGTCGTCGACGTCGTCGGGGTCAGGACCGGCTACGACCCAGGAGCGCGCAGGGGCAGGAGTCAGAGGACAGGGGGTTCTGGAGGACCGAGAGGCTCCTGGCGGGGCTGTGGCGCCCGAGTGCTTTCGCCCCCTGACCCTGGGCCCTCTGCGTGCCTGGGGGGGCGGCCCGCTCGGGGGGGGGGAGGCACGAGCGACGAACAGATCCGTATCCACGCCCTCGCGGTCTGGACTGCGAGGCGCGATCCCACGGATCCGTTCCGTGCGGGGCATCTGCGCAAAACCACCCCGCCTCCATCGGAGCGGGAGCGTGGCCGAGGAGTCCAGACTGCGAGCCCATGGGCACCTGTCGGTCGGAAGAAGTGGGTAACAGCATGAAGTAGGAGGGCGGATAAAGTAGACTGGTTTGAGGCCCTCCCAGGGAATAACAGAACACAGCAAAAGCATATCGATTCTTGAAGTAGGAAGGCGCTTGAAGTCCGCCGACCCTGTCGGCGTGTGTGAAGGGCTTGTCCGTTCGAGTCGTCATCTCCGTCATTCGTGGGTCGTCGTCTCTGTCGTCCCCTTTCCCTGCCTCCCCCTTTCCCTGGGCTTGTCGAAGCTCCCCCTTTTCCAGGGACCTCCTCAGCGCGCCAACCAAAGCGAAGTTGAGCAACGTCGTAATTGAGTCGAACTGAAGCCCCTTCCCTTCGATGCCTTCCCCGCCGGGGGGGGGGCCCGAGGGGGGTCCCGGGGGGGATCCCGGGGCGGGGGTCAGATACGACGCCCCCCGGGGGAGTCCCGGAGCCCAAAAAAGCCCCAAGACGGGCCAAGAAGTTAGTGCCCCAAGATGCCCCAAAGACAGTCCAAGAGAACCCCGAATCGCCGAACGATCTGTCCAAGACACCTTGACGGCCTTCAGACGGCCCAAGAGGCCAGCAAAGCGCCCCCAGAGGCCTCCAGGAGCTTTCCCACGAGAGCCCCAAGAGGCAAAATTCATGGATTTCCCATAATTACCTTTTCAACAGATGTTGGCGTTCTTGCCTCTTCCGCTTCCCGACGCGCCAAGACGACCCAAGAGGCCTCCAAGATCGCCCCGAGACGGCCCAAGAGGCCCCCTAGAGGGTCCCCTAACGGCCGAAGAGGGCCCCAAGACGGCCCAAGACGCCTCCTCCTCTGCAGGCGGCGGGGCTTCTCTGAAGCCCTCGGCCTTCTGAGAAATCTTCTGCGCCCCAGGAGAAGGCTTCGAAAAGTCCCAGAAGGCCGGAGGCCTTCCGAGCCTTCAGAGAAGGCCCCCAGGTCGGCGGCGAGCCAAAAGGAGAAAGTGAGAGGAGACGGGAATTCTCAGAAAGTCAGAAGGTCAAGTCTGGTCGAGGAGCCTACGAGGCACCTCGCTCCGCAGGCGGAGACGGAAGGCGTGAGACACAACGGCAACATAGCGCGAAAGCAAAAGAAAAATGGCGGATAGGGCGATCTTGAACCACATGTTTTGTACATCAGCTAGTTCGAATCAAAGTATGAAATGAACTCTCCAACCGCTGCCAAGGGAAACGTTCCCAGCTGCGGACAACTCTGGTGAGGTTCGTGCTGTGCTCTTGTCGCAGGAAAGAATCGATGGCGTCTGTCCATCTGCGCCGCGGTCTTCGTCGGCGTCCGACTCCAGCCAGGATCCAACGCACAACTTGCGAAGGCCATCCGTGCGAGTCACCTGTGAGAACTCGTGCCACGAGGCGCAACGTGCAGCGGTCCAAGGCGACAAGCCAATCTGACACAGGACAAGAAGTTCAAAGCAACGCGTACTTTTGGCTTGCACCGTCTCCCAGCTTCTTCCCAACTTTCGCCAGGAAGCTTGCTGAAGCCAACGATCTGGCGAAGCATTTTTGAACGCGTTGATGCAATTAGTGACCGCTGCTGTGCTGTAGTGGCCGTGGTCGACAGATCGTACAGCGCGGTGGGCGCAACAAGGCCGCACGCATTCTCAGAACCCGGCGGGGATTCTCTTAAGCCTCCAGCCGTCTGAGAAGTCTTCTGCACCTTCGGAGATGAGGGGCAACGATAGGGGGGGGACTGGCACAAGGGGGACGCATCGACCTGGAATCGGTGACGTATCGCCAATAGATCGGCGATAGGCTCCCGATAGTGAATCCGCACCCTCCTGGACAGGTTGCGGCTCTCGACCCCAGGCGGCGATCAATGGGCGATTGCGGGTCGATGCGTCCCCCCCTATACCTACCCTAAGACGAAGCCAAGACGAGGACCAAACAGGGTGAAGACAAGTCGGGGCTCTCTGAGATCCGGCGGTTCTGGAGGACGTCTCGGGTGCCGCGGCCTTCTCGGAGCGTTCCCGAACGCTCCGAGAGCGTTCCGAAACGCTCTTGAACGGACTTCATCCTCGGCCTGGCACGGTGCGACGTCCCCACCCTCTCGTCGCCCCTGGGGAGAGGGCTTCGACAAAGCCTCGGAAGGCCGGAGGCTTTCCGGGCCTTCCGAGGAGGCCCCGCCCCCGCCCCCTGAAACTTCCCTGCGCTGGCCATGGGGCACCCGCGGGCTCGCCGCCGACCCGGGAGGTCCCGACCGCCTCCCCGGTGGGGCCGGCCCCCGGCCCGAGACCGGGGCCCCAGAGGCCGAAGAAGGGGGGCAGAGGCGCGGGCGCAGCCCTGCGCGGCAGCCGGCGGAGAGCCCGGGGGGGGGAAGCGAGGAGGCGGAGGCCTGCTCAGAGGGCTCGCAAGTCCCGAGGCCTTCCGAGGAGTTCTCTGTGGGCCTCCCCCGAGGACGCAGGAAGCGTCTCAGAAGGCCGGGGGCCTCCTATGAGAAGTCCCGCTGCCTTCCGGGAAGGCCTTCTCAATTCTGACCTCCACCTCCCCTCGCTGGCCGCCGAGGAAACGCGCAGGCGCAGGCGCAACCCTGCGGCACAGGCAGCACGGCCCGCCGCCCTGCCACGTGGTCTCCTGGTCCCTGTTGGCAGGCCGAGTGGGCCACGAGAGCCCCAGCGCCCCCGCGTGCGGGTCGGGCGGGCCAAGACAGACCAGCCCAGAAGGGGGGAACGGGAGCAGGACGATGGGGAGAAGGCCGATGGGCATTGGCGGCGCACACACGGGGGTAGGGGGGAGAGGGGAAGGCCTCTTAGATGGAGGTCGCTCCTGAGAAGGCGCAGGCCCTGCAACTGCAGAGAAGGCCCGCGCCTTCTGAGAAGCAGGGGTGCGTCTGAGAAGCCTTCCCCCCTCCCTTTGCTCCCTTCGGCGCGTGGCCGAATATCAATCAAAATCGGTCCCTGGACCCCTCCTGAGGTCTGTCCGACGCAAAATCCCTGGGTCGAGTTCCAGAGCCTCTGGAGCCTGAAAACAGCCCCCAGAGGCTGAAAACTGCGAAGGCTGAAAACTGCGAACAAAACACCTCCAACCTCGAACCTCGAAGTTCGAACTTCGAAGTTCC